ATCAATAAATAAATAAAGCCTAAACACAAGTGTACAATTAAAGTGAACAATATTTATTTAGGACAAACATAGTGAAAATGTATAATTATTTTGGCACAATGGATAGTCTCTCAAGGTCGTACTTCATACTAAATTTTCTGAAATACTGCTCCATACTGAATAAATTTTACGTCACCTATTAAAGTCGTTAACGTCAAACTTATTAGTGTCAGAAATTAGTGCCATACACGTGACCAATAAAATACAAGAGAAGTCACCAGACCGCCAGTGGAAAATATACATGTCTAACTTCACATACCATAGGCGACCTTACAATCATCTTTTCTACGAGGGAACAAACGGTGCTACTCTAGGTGAATGGCATTGTAGGATGGACAGCTTAAACGAAAGAAATTTAACACCGTTTTTGACCAAGGTGATGTGAAAACAGCATAAAATAACAAATTATAAACATTTCTGTATTAATACAGGGAATTAAAAAAACACAGTAGGTTTATATAAGACACCTCATGCACCTTGAGCATGAAATGGGTATTCGCACTATTCCATTTGAGGTCATGCTGTTCAAAGTCACTGTTTACAGCGACTATGGATTTCTGCGCAGTAGGCCTGTTGTTGACGGGCATTGAGAAACCGTCGTCCTCGTACATTACATAAATTATGGAAGCCCTGCAAGGAAAAGTGTTATTTTTGGACATAACAGTCTTACCATAGAGTCTCAAGATTTTCAAGATGCACTGTCGTCATACAGAGCATGTCTAGACGTGGCAACATGAAATGTAACGACATAATGAGGCTCCAAAATTGGTTTAATGTAACGTACTCAACCCCTGTATGCTGAAATATCTCTAATTATCTAAGGTGTTCTACAAAAGTATATGAGGGATATTTTCGCTAGTAACGTTTGGAATATGTTTTGTTCGTTTTTCTTTCTCTAACATAAGAAAAGGAGAAATATGGCATGGTTTTTATATCAAAAACAACGAAAATCTATGACGTTAGCAAAGGTTAAGTGAAGATTAACACATTTCGACGGCAAGTTACTATTATTCATCCAGGTTTATGAGGCACTATTTAGATTTGTTATTGTTATCATATATATCTATTGTTTTCAAACATATTTGTGTATATAATGCAACCAATATGAAACGCATAATTGTTTTAGTAATTTGAAAAAAACTAATTTGAAGAAAAGGTGCATTTTTTATCTTTAAGAAGAAACGTCATAGATGAGGTTAAGTTCTGCAAATAAATTGACATTACGATAACTTCAAACTTAGTACCAAGATTAGGCTTATCCTTCTGAATTATTTTTATTGTATTTACATATTTTTCTCTGCATGTGCATATCGTAATACAGTAACGCTGCAAGTTTTCTTGATTCTAGGCTCGCAAGTGAACTTAAGATTAACATTTATTGTTTGAAAACTTTGAACTGATGTCGGCTGATTTCTAAATTCGATGTTTCGAACCTTTGAGCTAATTAGTATAGCTAATAACTTTATCTAAGTTATTTGAAAAAGTTGAATCTAAAATTTCTTTTTATTGTGAAAATTCGTTTGAAACAAAACCTTTAATTCTCAGACCTTGACTACTGATACTTGACTCCAAGATATTACTGAAGCAAAAACCGTCAACATTTTTGGTATTGCAGTGAGGCATATAAAGTGTTTCACGAGCTTTTCTATTATGAAAAATACTTGCGTGACCAAATGTTAGATTTTTTGTTTCAGTATCCACACCAAGTACATTGAGATTAACATTTTTCTTATCACACGCTTCGTTAATTAATACGACTTGATAAAGAGACCTTGAATTACAGTCTGATAGAATAGCGAAAGATTAACTTTTCAGTAAGAAATAGAATCGTACCGATATTAAAACGTTTTCATTTGAGTAAGGATAATAATCCGACTACGACAGATGGCGCTGTGTTTTACGGGCTTTTATCCGTGACGTAACAATGAAAAAGGGGGGAAAATATTAAAAGTCTCATAATAACCTGCTGACAGACAGTTTTGCAAAGCGTGTACCTGCAAAAAAACAGACAAAATTTTTTTTTTCTCAGATTGAAAAGACAGATTGTAAAAATATTAGTAAACGTACGATATTCATCATCTATTCTTTGCCATGTATGTGTAAATCTGTCGATCGATCTGTCCGTTCGTATAAAGCAATGAAAGAACTTTAGAAAAACGAGCTCCAGATATTCGTTGTCAGCACGACAGGCAATGATGAAGAACGTACTGTTGTATTTCGTGTCAAAATTTAAGCACATTTCCGAGTTAAAACACGTAAATAATGTATTTAGTCTTTTCTTTACGTAATTGTATATCTATAAACGAATATCTCCGAATAGGTATTAACAACTCGCTCAGTCTTGCCTAAACTGTATTGGACGGAGTTGTAACCAATCCTACAATTTCAACTTCATGGAAAACTTGTTTGAACTAGTAAGTTATAGAAACTCATCAAACACGTGCCGTTTGGAAAGGAAGAAATTCATCAGGATAATATCCTGTCTATAGGTAACTGCTACTCGTAGTGCACGCAAAATCGTAATTGTACCCCTCATTCATACAAATATCGTTATGATGTTGTATTAATCCTAATAACATTTTTTTGATATGGTTTTTGATTAGCGGTTTTATTTTGGCTCTAATCTTTCGACCAGCAATCGAATTTCACTCTTGTGTTAATATTGTGATATAGAGAGGCCGGTTTTAATGTTTTGTCTTACGGATTCATCAAGGTATAAGATCGATAAGTCGCCCATTTTCATCTGAATGCATATAGTGAAAAGAGATATAATTATTATCGAAGTAAAATGCTGAAAATGAGCTTGTTTTAGGTAACCAAAATATTTTTCATTATGATAACAACGTGTGCATAATTTTGTTTTCTCATTCTATATCAGCTACTTTTAATACATTACTCTACTTGTAAGAACTCAAGTAGGCTTAATATAAGTACAAAATATTGATAAACATGGGGAATAATCATAAGTCGTTCACTATTTAAATAAGTCATAATATAAAGCAGAGCTCAGCATAACCTACGGTAACAAAGGACAGCATAAGTGATAGCCTGTTTCCCTACAAGAAAGCTTATAACAATTCTGACGCAGTTAGGTTCGCCTATTCGTGCAAAGCTACACAATAGCTCTCTGCACTAGCTGCTGCTAATTTTGAACTGATAGACTAGAGGGAAGGCAACCTGTCAAAAAACTCCGATTGCAAACTCATGTGCTCCTCTTAGAGAATAATGTGATTTGAACGTCACTCTTATAACGCACCCATGGTCCGAAGTATGTTGCACGATTTGTTTACTGCAGCGACGGGATGCTTACCATGGACATTCAGATCCACAGGCCGGTACACTAGCCACTAGAACATGCCTAGCTCTACATAGTTTGAATATAATTATTTTTAAAAAATATGGTTTTCCTAAAACCATAAAAAATGGCTCTACTATCAATAATGTAATTTGTCGAACTCAATATACCTTAAAACACTGATAAAGAAATGGCCAAAGTTGCAGAAAAACATGTTCAGTTAGTATTTCAATGTGTGTTCGGTTAAAATGTTGTTCAGTCAACATTTCAACATATGTTATATTCTATCGTTATACACGTTCAAGTAATATTGTTTTCACAGGTTTAATGAATCAGGTTGTTCTTCAGTGTAACAACTACTGTTAAATGTTTTACTTTTCCGCTTTGTTACTTATACGAAAGGCATTAATATAATATTTTTGTTTCATTTATTTGGCTGATTAATCGGACAATTAAAAAAGGGAGGATTTCACGCAACACATGTGGAATGAAAGAAACAGGTTTTATTGTTCAATGATATAATAAGCAACGTATTAGCAAAAAAATATTACAAACAACATTTCGACCAATCTTCAGTTTGTAGCTGGTTCATTGTTATAATATATTGTTACCAAATATTATTTAACAGTAACAGATCCTGAAGATGACTTACTACTGTAGGTCGAAATGTTGTTTTGAATGTCATTAAAACAAACTTTTCCTAGTACAAAAGCTGATTCTTGATGAAACTCTGTAGAATGGACGGCAACAGCCTGTTGTAGAGACACAAGTGTAGAGGACGACGTTTCGAAAGTCTTGTGTCTCTACAACAGGCTGTTGCCGTCTATTTTACAATATTTTATAATGAATACTCTACCTAAACAGTCTATCAAAAAGTAAGCTGATTCTTATATCACTGAGTTAATCGAATAGAATCCTCAGTCTACATAGGTTTTATTATTTTCCTCAGTGACAAGTATTTTTTCTTTTTTACATCTGAGACATGAGTCCTATATGAGCCAGTTAAAAGTATCAAATAACCTTACATTAAAATATATATACACATTTGACCTGGAGACATTACTGTAAATTAAAGACGGTCAATTTTCAGCACGTGTGGCGCAAGTGACAAGCGAAGCAACAACTAAATGTTGACTAGCTACCTCCCCTCTAGTCTTTCACTGCTAAATTAGGAACGGCTAGCTCAGATAGCCCTCGAGTAGTTTTGCGCGAAGTTCAAAACAAACCAGTCTGAGTTTTCAGATTAAAAAGAAAATGAACGGATAATTAATTTCATACACATAGCGTTATATGCGCCATTTATACCATCCATTAGTGAAATGTGTTTCGTTATTCAAAATAAACCTTCAGAGAAACTAACTTAACCCCAATGGGTTTAAAGTTGCTTTTTGTGTTTATGTCTGATGGTAACTTCATCAGAATGAACTTGTAGAGTTAAGACACAAACATTGATTTCATCTTTTACCACTATCGTAACTCAAATCTGTGGTGAAACACTGAGATGTCATAATGAGAGTTACTCTTTTTTATCGCGTAATTCATTCGTTCTTTATATTTAATTTATGTACAGCAGTCCAAATAATACGTTTCTGAGATTTTAATGTAACAGATAATAACTTTAGAAGAAAAGAAGATGAAAAGTATTACAGTAAATATTTTCACTCACCTTGTAAGATAACCGATATTATGACAAGAAAGTTCCATGGATTTCTTGACCTTTGTCGCCATTTGTGACAACCACGACAATCCATAGTCGAACAGCTGAGATGTAGAACCATTGGTAAGACGTGTCAGTGAGTTATCTCCTTATTCTATGTCGACCCATTTAGTATATGAAAATATAATCTAGAGGAAATAAGAAAACCAAACACTCCATTGAAGTTGTTTCCAGTTTGTATTGAAATGTGTAGATATTTAAATGTAGTGATTTTTTAAAACATTTTAACAAGTAAATTATAAATACTCCCATGATTATGACATCGTAGAATAAATTTCAACTAATAATATGACATCTATTCTTTTTTTAAATAAGTTTGCAAAACAAAATTTTTTCTATTACATGACTAAAGCAAAGATTTTTCTGAAATCATTAAAAATGTACACCATAATTCATAGTTTTTCAAGAGAGTTTTAAAACTTGACCAAACACGGTAATATTTAGTAGTTTAATGTAATGAACTGGTTAATCACGTAAGAATTCGAAGTAACTCTCCTTATTCGAAGTGGAAAGTTACTTATTCATTATGGCCAAAGAGAAGTACAATTAAAAACCTAAACAAGAAAATAAAGGCTTAGTTACACCGTATTAGAAGTTTATGGCACGCACTTTGAATGCATAGAATTTATATTACTTACTTCAGACAAGCAGAAAATGTTCAAATCGTACAAGAGAGAGACGTGCCAAACCATTACAGCTTAAAATGACTTGTACATATGTAATATACGTAATTTCATTTGGAATTTAATAAATGATGAATATTCGGATAAGTGAGAAATTTCAACAAACACGTGTATATGTATATATATATATAAATCGTCTATAAGTATCTGAAATTGGAACTTAAAAGTCTGTATTTGAGAATTAATTCACTTGTGATCACCCTTTCACAGTCCAACGTAAAAAAAAAATAACAATAAAACAGGTAAAGATAATTAAACACGTGTGAACAAGACCAAATATATTTTAGTTATTTATATCAACAACACTATGTAAGAAAAAATAAATCGATTATAATTAAGCGTTATGTTTTGAACAGATGCACGTTTTTATTAACTTCACCGAAGTCTAAGAAATATCTTGACTTCAGAATTATCGACTCAGTTGACTCCGATTTAAAGCTAGGCCATTAAATTAAGTAATATTGTTTCAAAGAAGTAGCCTAAAAGCTCAGAAAAACAACCTACCACAGGCCAAGTAAGAGTAAGGCCAAAGCTAAGTACTTTTCTTACATTTTTTAGAGAAAGATCAGTTTAACTTTTAAACTTTGATAAATGTCCATGCAGTAAATGGAAGTGTACTTAGCCTTTTGTTATCTGTAATGTCCTCACATCTTTTGCGTAAGATCTGTATTTTTCAATATGCAGCTTGCACGTGCACACGGACACAACCAATCACTGGCTAGTATACTTAACACCTTATTAAATTTCGATACTGTGCAAAAGGTAGCGACTGTATTTCACCATAAAGAATAATAATAATAGGACTTTAAAGTCTAAATGATGTTTTGCGTATATGACTTTAATATTTTTGAATGTTCGCAATTCATTTTTCAGACGTCGATTCAACTGAGTCATGCAATTTATTTCTACTGCAGTTTGATAGTTACTCTCACACTTTGCACAATATGCGTAAGTTGCTAGTGATTGTAAATCCCACACCGATAATGCCGCTAGGAAAAGAAACTCATCTTGAAAGCACAATATTGATCCTGCAGTAAATACTTAGCCAATCCAAGCAGCACCTGTTTCGGATTCATTTGATTGCTTTGGTCTGAAGCGTACGTAGCTTGACTAACCCTGAGAACAAGGATATCTAGATAACATTTGCCTTTATCCCACAACCATGAAAAAAGATTGAATAGATATATGAATATAAAATACGCTTACCTACACCTTATATGTAATTTTTTACAATAATTATATTTCAATGGCTATTTCCGTATCATATTAGAATCTTGTTTTAACTTTGTCATTTACAGCTTTGTAAGCATTAGTTTGCCGGATTTCAAAAGAGTTATAAAAAATTAACATGAAATTTGTGTTTGGAATATACAACCACTGTAATATTGAATTTGCGCGATACGGTTTTCCAAAGCAACACCAGCTGAAGGCTTGTTCGCTCACGAGAACTGAGTTGATAAGTTTGATAAAACTAAACTAACAGTTCTAATTAGATTAAAATGTAAGGATGCACACGTGGGGAAACTTCATTATTAAACGTAGCGCATTTGGCAAACTAGTTCATTGGAAAAAAACTAAAAACTTGACGTTTAACTTTAATTGTATAGCGATATCGCCCAAAGAAATGCGCTACCTTATAGTGAGATAGATGGTTAATTTTTACTTTCTTGAATGTTACCCATAATTTTAGTTAATGTTGATTCAACTTGTTTATATATATATATAAATGCTGAACTGCAAAATTGAAAAATAATCTGAAAAAAAGACCAAGCGATTTACATAACAGAGTTGATATGCAAAATGTTAATCATACCATAAAGAATTTGAAAATATAATTTTGAAAAAATCATGAAATTAAAAAAGTAAAAAAAACCGGTAAAAGACGGATATAGTGTAAGTAAAAAAAAAAAAAAAGATTCTGTTTTTTCGATGTTTCTCAATAAACACATTTATAATATCCCCGTCACACCAAACATGCTCGCCC